CGGTATGTATTGGTGGACAGTTGGGTGGGGCATAATCTAGTCTGCCTAAGAAATTCACAGATCAATGGTTGGACAGGAAACCGTAGTCCGGTTTCTATTATGGATTGAAGGGTAAAAGGGACGAAGCCTTCTTTTTCTCAGGGAATAACATCTTTTTCGGCCAATATCAGATGGACAGCATAGTTCAACCACCTTAAACCGAAATAGCAGTTGAAATACTGGAAGGCATTACAAAATACAAGCATACACATCAAAACCGGAGTAAGAATTGCGTAAAATTTTCATTCAATGAAAAGTCATTACAAAGGGGCATAGTTCGGTTACAAAGAAAAAAGGCAACAAATAGAGAAAAAGTACAAAGTCAAGAGAAAAGATCTTCAATTTCGACATCAAATGCGGCATCAGCATCAGCAAGAAGACCGGTTTCAGGCCGAAGCTCCGTATTGGCAGCGAGGGTCGTTACGGTCGGAACCACGGTTTCAGCTAGTTGTTCATTTGTTAGATCCTCCACCATGGGCTCCGACCGAACCACCTCATCGATGTTGACAACTGGAGTATCCTCAGAGGCAGAATCTTCATCAGAATCTGAGCCTTCAAGAAACTCCTGTTGCTTGGCATTCGCATACTCCAAGAGGGAGTTCGGTATGAAGTAGGCTGGAGGGTTGAAAATCTCGGTCTGGGGATCATGACCGAGCTGCTCAACGGCCCCCCTCCAGCCGCACTTAAAGAACAGATCTTTGGCGGCCTCACATTGCTTGGCATAAGCATCTTCGGCCTTCTTGAAACCTTGTTTGCCGGCTTCCTTTACGCTCTCCTTTATTTCGGCATCTTTCTTTCTTTCAAGCTTCACCAGCTCGCGCAGGTATTTGTCCTTCAGAGCTATGGCAGTCTTCTGCCTTTCTGCCTCTGCTGAGCTAACTAGTCCGGTCAGCCTGCTGTTCTCAGCCTGCAGCTCGGCCATTTGCTTCTTGATGTTTTCTACCTCGGCCGACTTCAGTTCGGCTTCGGCCACTGCGTCCCTCGTAGTTTGTCTAAGTTCCAGCACTTTCTTGTGAGTGTTGTAGTTTTTTTGAATTGCCTGACAAAACAAGGACTTCTAATGAGCCGAAGTAAAAGCTTAAAAAACTAGACAGAAAAACGGACGGAGCTACTTACCAGGATCATGGACTTCGTTGCAGACCGAATGGACTTTAATTCGGTGTTTAGCTGCTTTTTGTGGTGCTCCATATCCTTGGGGAGGCACACACTCTTGGCCAGACTAAAGGCCAACAGGTGATCTTTTTCGGCGACAACCGAATCAGCATCTGAGACATCTCGGTTGTTGAATGTAAGTTTTGGTGCCCAACTGGTGGTAGTTCGGTCGTTGGGCTCCGGTTGGGGGCTCGGCGGCAGGACCGGTGAAACAGCAGTCTCATCTTCGTCAACCAGACTTGGTTCAGACTCGATGGTTCGTGCGCGCTTGGTTCGGTGCGATGAAGACGGCTGTTGAGAGGGGAGGGCCACAACGGCAGGCGGTGCTTGGCTGGGTGACGGTACTTCGGGCCTGCTTGTCTCAGTCAGAAGTGCCCTTAGTCTGTTCTTTTTGGCCATTTCCTCTTCAGCAGTTAAAGGAATTAATCTTATTTGTGGCAAGTTTGGGTCCGGCTCCGGAGCGTCTTCGAGAAGAACGTCGGTTACCCTTGCTTTTCGGCGACCGCTATACCGGTAGGTCGGCTCAAAGTTTAGAAGCTTAGCCCAACTCCTTTCTTTACACCGTAGTGCGGCTCGCAAAATCGCAAGGTTGGGATAGTTATATAGGGAACGGAGGTGGGCGAAATCTGTAAAAAGAGAACTGTTAGTTCGGTTAATAGACTAAAAAAAATGAAATAAAATACATGGAAGAAAACCGAAGTCAAATTACCGGGCTCTCCCTTTTTCCAATTTATAGGTCGGCCAAGAATTTGGGCTTGAAAATCCTCAAAGTTCCCAGAGACCCAGAAAAAATCATCGTCATTAAGGTCTTTGTCCGGTGTGTATTTAATTATCTTCTCTCGGCGGCGACGAATCCTAAGGTAGTAGACCCACCCATCATCTTTTGAGCCGATGGAGTATTAATGGAAAATTTCGGCCAGGCCGAGGTTTAGTCCGGTTTGGTGGTTCAGTGCGGCTATTCCCATAATAATGCGGTATGTATTGGTGGACAGTTGGGTGGGGCATAATCTAGTCTGCCTAAGAAATTCACAGATCAATGGTTGGACAGGAAACCGTAGTCCGGTTTCTATTATGGATTGAAGGGTAAAAGGGACGAAGCCTTCTTTTTCCCAGGGAATAACATCTTTTTCGGCCAACATCAGATGGACGTCATCAGGAATTTGGTAGTCTTTCCTAAATTCGGCCATGCCACCAGGGGTCTCAACTAAATACCTATACTTACCCATCTGATGTATAATTTACTTATAATTTATATCGATGCAAAAATCGTGCTCAGCTTGGTTAAGCACAAGAAGGAAGGCCTGGGCAACCTAAGTCTGCAAAGTAGAAAACAGAGGGGGTTAAAGCACTGATCATTGGACCGTGCTACAATTTAAAAGCAAGGTATAAGAGCCCTACTTCGGCCTCAAAAAACTGGTTCTATCTCGGTTCATCAAAAGGTTTGGTAACTCGGTTTGAGCAGTTTGCTCGTTAGACCGGTTTATCGTCTAGGGGCAGCTTTCTGAGTTCGGTCTAAAAAACTAAGAAAGCTGGTTTAGCCCCAAGGCCTAAATCGGTTGTAGTGTGAATAAAGTTACTTCGGTTAAGCCTCTAGGGGCAGCTTTCTGAGTTCGGTTTAGAAACTAAGAAAGCTGGCTTGGCCCCAAAAGCTTAGTTCGGTTGAAAACCAAGGTTCCTAGTTTGATATGTTCAAAACTCGGTGATCTTATTTCGGCTAAAGTGAGTCAGGCGTTGGTGACTCTTTAAGACTTTCAAATTCTAGTTCGGTTATTGACTACAGTGATCTGCCTATTTAGGACAAACAGGATCCTAGTTCGGTTGCTACCTAATTTTGGATCTAAGGCAAGTTTTTTACAGAAGTTCATGCACGTATGAGCTCTGCTATTATTTTTTCATAAAAGTACAGAAGCGAAGCGACAAATGAAAGAAAATGTTTGCAAAAAGCATACAAAACAAAGCTATACAGATACGAAAGCAAGATAAAAGAAGCAAAATGAGTTTACTTACCAGGTTGAAGAAGGGGGATCTGATGATGGGAAAGTGGCAGCAAAGTCAGTCTTCAGAAGCAACGGAAGAACAGCAAAAACACAGAGAGAGAAGATGAAGAATGGAAGGTGAATGATTCAAGAAAAAAAAAGGTTATTTGTGAAAGAGGAGAGAAAAAAGCGACAAAAAGGGGCGGGACTGTTCAAAAAGTTCGAAGTACGAAGGCGGTGTGATAACAGCTCAAGCTTATCAGAGCCCGCCACGTGGCAAGGGAAAGGGAAGCGTTACAGTCGTGATTGAAGAGACGTTTTGACCGGATAAAGCAGAGCTCGGAGTAGAACTAGCTCGGCTGGATACGCTGAAGGGTTTTTATCTCGGCTGAAAAGACTTGTAGAACTTCAGCTAGGTTGAAGGATTTATAATCTCAATTATGCTGTGCAGATGAAATTAAGGGGCAATTGAGAGAGTAATTTTTGGGAAAGAATTGGGCCGAGCTGTGAGTTGGGCCCTGCGGCCCAAAGTGTGAAGGAATCGGTAAGAAGCCGTAATGTTATTTCGGCCCAGTAGAGACATAGATACTCCGGTCCAGGAGAAGTGTAGTTATTCCGGCCCAGGAGAGGTGTGGTTACTCCGGTTCAAGAATGTGTAAAGCAACTCCGGTCCGGTGGCAATTTGAAGTAAGTCCGGCTTTGCATTTAGTCCGGTCGTGTCATAATTTGGTTAGGTCGGTCAGAACTTGCTACTTGGAAGTTTGATCTAAACACACCATGGTTGAACAGGGGAAAGCCGAGATAAGGAGTTGGAGGAGAAGACTGAGCTAAGGACAGTTCGGCCTTCTCTGTGGCTCTGCATAGCCAAGCTTATTTCGGTCATATAGTAGTTCGGCCAAAGTGAAAACCATCCCACTTGGTTTAAGCAGTGGGGGAGGGTGTGAAAGGATAAGCATTATCCTTAGGAGTATGAATCCTAGGAGGACTCTGCATGGAGAAATAAAAGTCCTACTAGGATTATGCCACTCGAAACCTATAAAAGCTCACAAGCACCACCTTGGAGGAGGTAATTGAACACAATTCTTTCTGAGAACACAAAACTTTGTCTATTTGTCAAGCTTACTGACTTAGGCATCGGAGAGGTTTTCGGCACACACCCGCCGGCTAGCTCACGTTTGTGTTTTCAGGTGATAAAGCGACGTCGTACGGAGGAGCGTGGACTTGGTCAACAGGATTATACGAGGAGAATTATTTCCTCCCCGTACAACTCGTATGAGTGATAATGATAGTGTTGGTGATCATGTTAATCAAATGGAATTAATTACTAAAAAATTATCCAACACTGATCACCCTTTGTCGGACAAGATGCAAGTAACTACCACACTTAATAGTCTTCTATTATCTTGGGATCATGTTGTCACATCTTTAATTCATAGCGGACGAGAGATTTCAATGGTGACATTGTCTGTACTCTTAGTGTTGGAAGAAGAAAGAATGAAGCGAAATGTTTGTCTTCTAACTCGTTGATGGCAGAGTCTTCGTCACAACCACAAAATAATACCCACACACCATTCAACAAGAAAAAGACTACTTTTTTCAAGAAAAAATGGAAGAATGGATTTCAGAGAGAATGGAAAAAACCGCAAGAATGGCAAAAGCAACAACATCACAAGTATCAGATAGGTCCATGTTACAAGTGCGGTCAAAAAGGTCATATCAAAGCTAATTGCTCTCAGAAAAAGCAGAAAAAGAATAATAACCCTGTTGTCATGACAATTTCTGAAGCAATGGTGCTTGAGCCTTTATCAAATTCATGGTGGATTGATTCTGCTGCAACTAGACATATTGTGCAAAATAAAGACATGTTCATGGATTTTACTGAAAAGAAGGTTGGTGAACATAGAATCTACATGGGCAACAACTCCTATAGCGATGTTTTGGGCATCGGCAATTGTCAATTCTCTATTGATGGAACTTCTGTTGTGCTTTATGTACCCAGCATTCGGCGAAATTTAATTTCAGTTCCGGTGTTAACTCAAAAAGGTTTTGAGATTAATTTTAGGTTTAACACAGTATTGATTAAGAAAAGAAGTGTATTAGTGAAAGGTGTAAGAGTGAATGACATGTACTCTCTTCCTATTGATAATAAAGTATGTATTTCTAATTATTTGCATGTTTCTACTAGTAATAGTTCTTATTTGTGGCATTTAAGGTTAGGTCACATTAATAAAAATAAAATGTCTCCAATGTTTAAAAGTGGCTTATTGCCTAACGTATGTTCCGATGATTTTGATATATGTGAACCATGTATCAAAGGTAAAATGACTAGCAAGCCATTTTTTAAACATTAGAAATCATCGGAATTACTTGAAATAATTCATTCAGACATTTGTGGCCCTTTAAGAACTAAAACTCATCGAGGCATGGAATACTTTATTACTTTCACTGATGATTATTCAAGATATGGACATATCTACATTCTTAAACACAAATCAGAAGCAATTGACAAGTTTAAAGAATATAAATTAGAGGTAGAAAAGTAACTTGGTCGGTCCATTAAACACTTGAATAATGATAGAGGTGACGAATACGAAGCTATGGATTCCTTTTGCAAGGACAATGGCATAAAATATTTATTTACAATGCCATACACACCACAACAAAATGGGGTTGTAGAAAGATGAAATCGTACTCTCATGGAAATGACAAGGCCTATGATGGCTCATATTGATCTTCCTATTCATTTTTGGGGGAAGCCTTGTCCACCGCTGCGTACATCTTAAATAGAGTCGAAACAAAAGCCAAACCTCTAACTCCTTACGAATGCTGGCATCGAACTAAACCTAATGTTCAAAATCTCAAAGTTTGGGGATGTAAGGCACATGTACTTAGTCCCAAACCTTTAAGGGATAAATTGGGAAGCAAAACTTGGTAATGCAAGTTTATTGGTTATGTCGAAAATGGGAGTGATTATCGTTTTTACCATCCCGAACGTGGATTAATAGAAAGTAGAGATACTATTTTTCTTGAATCCACTGATCTTGTTACTCCTATTGAACAACTTGAATTGCTCTCTAAAGTATCTCAGGATTCTTCTCTTCCTTCTTTATCACACAGTCCACATATTCTTCCTGAACCACCTAATAGTGAGAGCAAACGCAAACTACATGATGTTGTTTTACCTGTTTCGAATTCTGAGATAAATGGGAGTAAGAGAGCAAGACGTCCATCTATGTCTTTGAAAGATCATTATGTTTTTCAAGTTGAAGAACTTAATAACTTAGTATCTGATCTTATTAGTTATAAAGAAGCAATGAGTAGCAATGATGCTACACAATGGCTTGAGGCAATGAATGAAGAACTTGACTCGATCAAGAAAAATGATGTTTGGGAATTAACCGATCTTCCCAATGAAAGAAAATCCATTGGTTGCAAATGGGTTCTTAGAAAGAAATTCAAAGTAGATGGAACTTTAGAGAAATACAAGGCCAGGTTAGTAGCCAAGGGATTCACTCAACAACCTGGAATAGACTTCGTAGATACATATTCTCCTGTTGTAAAATTTGCCTCAATAAGGATTCTAATGGCAGTAGTAGCCAGGATGGATTTGGAATTGCATCAATTAGATGTTAAAACAACTTTTCTCA